TCCCTGTGGTGTGTGAGGACGGTCACATATGTGAATGCTTCAGTCAATCCCAGACTGGTCTGGCATGTAACATGTGTAATAGCTGACAAATTTTGAAACCCAACAGTCCTTGACCAGAATAAGGAGAGCATGCAGCTTAGTGTTACATTAGTTAACACAGCTTTCAAAACATTTCCTTCTCTCACAACTACAGCTTGGCTGCTCACTCAGGCTGCCAGCCTGCACTGCCATGGTGGGAAATGTGGGGTCCCCAGCCCAGCCATCTCTTCCCAGGGACAGGAAAATGAACCTCATTCAGCTTTGGCAGTGGTATGAAAAGCAGACGAGGACTTCTTCTGTGACCCTGAATAGGCCTGAGAGCATCTGCATCCTTTCCGAGTGGGAGGGGATGGATTTGGACCCCATGTCCATACACTTCCTAGCAGCAACTCCCCAGCAGGCATCAGGGAGCAAGGGGTGTTCTGCCTTCCAGCACTGGGCATCACAGGTCACAAAAGGCATTTGCCTTGAATAGCCCATATTATAATGAGTACAAGTGAACCCCAGCACTGCAGATAGACCTCTTTGGGGTGAATCGTGATGGGATGATGAGGAATGCTCTGGACAAGCTCCAGGGGTGTCATCCATCAGGCAGTGCATAGGACCCTGTTTGCATCCCTCTTTGTGTCTGGGCCCCACTGTATGAGCACACTTACGCCAGTGCTGCCAAGCCATAACCGTTGGCCTTGCCCTTGTTTGTATCCCACAGGGTAGATTTAGAAAGCAGAGGCTGTTATTGTTTTCATTAATTGGCTATTTCAAGCAGCCACTATTTGCACAAGTGACATGAAGTGTTCTCATTCCTGTTTTGCTTCATCTCAGAAAGTGCCAAGAGCCCTCCAGCCCCTTTAGCTTACCTGTAGGTGTTGTATTCTCAGTATCCCTCAAGTCAAGCTCTCAGAGCGCATATTTTTGCAAATCTATTCCTACCAAGCCACTTCATTAGAAATTAATGCATCTATGAACATCACAAGCTGGTCCCTGTCCTGCCTTTTGATGGCTCCAGTGGAGGAGGAAGAAAGCAGAGGCCATCTCCCCTGGCTCAGCTTCTCCATTACCACTCATGACTGATTCTGACACTACCCCTCAACAGCACATCTGAGCTACTACTCCCCATTTGCACGGGACCAGAAGTCCTCACACAAGCAAAGCAATTGTAAGAAAGACTTCTGTATCCTTCCAAGCCTGCCTGTAGGCTTACAGGATCCACTCACCACAAAAAGTGGAAATATCTGCCAGGAGGGCATCAAGTTCCTAGGTTCTTTGTTTCATACATCTAAAACCACAGTGAAGAAGCTGGTCAGGAGCAGTGTGATGTTTACCCAGAAAGGCTGGGCTGTCCAGGTCCTTGGAGGGTTGCAGGACCTAGCTGGGTAAACCCTGGTCTGCCTTCCTCCATGACCCTACTCCAAGTGGGGCTTCAGACCTCCTGAGATGCTTTTCAACCCATATTACCCTGTGAACCTATGAGCCTAAATTCCCCCCAGGGTACTCCCAGGGACACCCTCCTCAGTGCTGGATGAACAGGGGATAATCACATCATTATTTTAGAGAGCTGGAAAAGTCCTGACTGCCAGCCCCTGCCTTTCACTGCCAAACACTCCCTTCCCCCTTTTGCCAGGGATAACGCCATGTCCTACGCACGCTTATTCCCACTGCTAGAGACACATTTTATTAGACATGGTGTATCTGTCAAAACAAAAAGGAAATAGAGTAATGTCACAGGTTAAAAGGGATTGGGTGGATGGATTCATCTCATTACTCACACAGACCGACAGCAGGAGCTGGAACCTGAATATGCAAACAGCACACAGCCCAAAATATCCTAATGTATGTTAGAGTGGTCATTTCTAATTAGCACTTGAATCCAACACCCTACTTAGCCTAATTAGAGGCATAAAAAAAAGAAAAGCTGTTTGAGCTCACATGCATATTGAATTATGCAGATCTCTAGCATTTAGTGCTGCCCTGTTCCAAAAAGTAACAGCAAGCAAAGCCTCTCAGCTTACAGCATGGATGAAAACTGGGCTCAGCACAGACATAAACTGGTCCCATGAAGACAATATATTGAAAATCTGCACCATTAACTCCATTAAGGTGCTTTAAATGTAAATTTGAAAGGTTTTGATAAGAGTTGTGTTACTGGGGGAAAAGAAGGCAAATCCACAGTTTTGGAGACACTGTGTTTATTTTTTCATATCTATTCTATAAGATTTTACAGTGTGATTTAAGCCAGGAAATAGATTAAGGTAGATGAAGAGAAGGAATGGGGAATCATACTATGGTTTGGGTTGGAAGGGATATTTAAAGGTCATCTAGTCCAACCCCCTTGGAATGAGCATGGACATCCAACTAGACCAGGCTGCTCAGAGCCCCCTTCAGCCTGACCTTGAATGATTCCAGGGATAACAGGACATCTTCCACCTCTCTGGACAACCTGTGCCAGTTTTTCACCCTCTGCAAAAAAATTTCTTCCATAAGGAAGAATCTAGTCTAAATCTCCCTTCATTTAGTTTAAAATCGTTACCCCTTGTCCTACCGCAACAGGCCCTGCTAAAAAGTCTGTCCCCGTCTTTCTTATAAGCCTTCTCTAAGTCTTGAAAGTAATCCAGCCACACAGGTAGCAACTTCAGAGCTGGTGACATGAGGGTTAAAAGCACCATGCAGCTCTGCAGATCTGCCAGGCAAGCCAAAATAGGTTTCATTTCTAAACCTTGCTTTTTTTAAGACGAAGCAAGCACATCCACGAGACATGGAGCAAATGCTGATAAACTGCTTTACTTCGTTTGTACATGCCTCATTTTCAGCAGTAGATTTAGCCAAGCACTGGGAGGATTTCATTGTGAATGAAGAGAAGGGGTGCCATCGGCTCCATGGAAACCCGGCCAGCGGCTGGGATTGGCAGGGCCACATCCAGGCTTGGCAGCAGCAGCAATACCGCTGAAAGTACAAGTACTGTGAATATTTAACACAGTGCAGGGACGTGGTAAAACCTAGCAACCCCATGGCAGCAGTTATGCAATTCTCCATTAATAGCTCAAAGGGATTCAGCATCATCCTAACATCCCTCCCCCCACGTTGCTATATATGGGGTTTTTTCCTCCTGTTGCTAAACCTTAAAGTGAGAGGAATCCAAGAAATTGCCATTACATAATACAGATTTACAGCCAAGTTGTACTCCTGCTGTTTTGGAAACATTCAGAGGGGCCAAGTCAAAAGCTAAGAGGAGACGTGATAGGATCCTGAGTTTTTTTTCTTCTCCTCCCTTCCACTTTCTAACTTCCCACTTAAATATAATCATTTGCTCCAAGATCTGTTGCACCTCATCTATTACTGAGCCACTAAGTAAGCAGGATCTTTGGCAGTGATAATTATATCGCACAGGTCTACAAAAGGTAAGATGACACATTGTCACGATCTCCCATTTCTTAAATTTGCTGTGAGTGAGGGTTCGGTTCAGGCATCACACAGGCTTTGTATACTCTACATCACCACCAGGTGTGGGTGATCCACCTCAATCTGTCTGCAGTGATGTGGGGTAGTGCCAGCAGTGGGCTCATTCGTAAAGATGCTCAGCTCCTGCAAAGATCTGGGTCCCAGGGGAATACAGGCATTCCTGAGCCCTTGCAGGAATAGAGCAAGGCTTAAGAGCAGGCTTAAGCACTTGGGATGGCTGGGCTGCCACGAGGCTATATATGGAAGCCAACAACTGCTGTGCCACAGGAGTGCTTTTCTCTGCTGTTTATTCTCATGTCTGATAGCACAGTGCAGCAGAAGCTGGGTGATTACAACTTGTGTCATGGTATTTCTCATGAGACATCTACTGCATTTAGGCTTGGTTTTGCTTTAATGTTCCTGAACACAGTTCTAAGCATCTTATCCAAGTAGAGGCACGTTACCCCAAAGCTGTTCGGCATTTAGGAAAAAAGTATTTGCAAACCCAGCATTTCTGTAGTCAGAGGGCTGTCCCACATGAAAATGGGTGAAATAGAGGGCCTGGTGCACCCTATCAGAGAGACTTAGCCTTTCATAGGACAGGTCTGAAGCTCTGGTTTAAAACTGTAGTTTGAGCCAATGCTAGAGAGCCTCAGTTATTGGGAAAAGAGCTGCATTTTAGCCAACATCAGGCAGCTGCAGGGGCACCTTGGGGGACAGCAGTCATTTATGGCTCTCCTGCAGGTTGCTCCACTGTGGGCATGTTGGTGCTCTGTATTTCCCATTAACAAGCCCTCACACGTCTCTGTGCTTCAGTTTTCTGAGGGTAAGGTTAGTAAATATTTCCTTATTTCTTAGGACTGTTGTGAGGACACATACAAGCCTATGAGTTACTCAGTATATAATAACATCTAAAGTTCCCACAAAATAATTTAAAAACACATCCAAAACCCCAGTCCTCAACTCCCAATGAGTACAACTGCACTTTACTTGCTGCTTTGTGCTTTTCCCACATGAACGAGGGGCCTTCCTTTAGGCTCTGAGCTAAAATTCTTGGAAAGGTCTTGATACAAGATAATATATATTGTTTAAATGCTTTTTCTCTTTTCTGTGTTAGCTAGCTAACCACCCTAGGAAAACAAGGCATAAACCAATTGAAAGCCTAACCTACAGTTAGCCAATCTGAGAAGCAGACTCTGCCCCAGGAATGCAACTGCAGCTCCCTAAAACAATAATAGGAATAAAACAAAACAAAAAACACAATTCCATCTTGCACTTTGTAATTCAGCAGAGCTGCAGAGACACCAGACACACAGTGGTCCCCTTCAAGCTTCACCATCACATGAAGCCCAGTCTTCTCCTAAGCAGTAACATGCAGAAGGCTCTGGTTTCCAGGTGCAGATAGTTTGCAGCCTCCAGCTCAGCTGAGGAGAATTAGGGCAGATCAGGCTTCTCCTATAAAAGGGCTGAGGGTCACTAGTAGAGGTCTTCTCTCCTTTTTTTTTCTTTCTTGTGTTCTATTTGAATTAAGGCTCTTTGAGCTTTTGCTTAAGGAAATGCTGCCAAATTTTGCTTTTAGGGGCATTAATGTACTTTGTATGCCTGCTTTCTTTTCTTGCTAAGGCAAGGAAGCACAAGGGCTAGGTGGGTTTTGTCATCTGTTTGGGTCTGACACAGGCTGTAGTGCCAAGGTTCCTAGCTCTCAATGTGTCCTTGGGGGGTTTTGGTAACCCCACCAGCAGCAAGCCTGCCCAGAGAGAAGGATTGTGGGGAAGGGATGGGTCTGTGTGAGGGCACCAATCACCCTCAGGGACAGCATGTTGAATAACACAAGGAAAATGTCTTGTGTTGAGGTTTAGCCTCAAGCAAGTTGAGTGTTGGTGCCATAGAGCAGTCTTTATATTCCTGAGTCCTTGGATGAAGAGCTATCCAACATGAAGGTGAAATGGAGGATAGCACCAGAGGGACAATGCTCTGCAGTAGCTCGGGTTCTTTACACAAACAGGTACAGGTAAACTTTTAAAGACTATGGCTATGAGGAAGAATGTAATTTTCAATGTAACTGTGTCTTCAGATTAATTTATCAAACTGTGTCTAGTCTTCAGAACAAAAATGTGCCTCAGAAGACCACAAACTAGGAGAAATAAGGAAAGAAACCCAGTGAGGTAGCACACTTGAACTGAATTAAGGGCTCCAACCACAAGGCTGCATGGAAAAGCAGCAGGAGACTCATTAACAGTTTGCTGTCCCTAATGGGTGACTAAGAAAGTTTGCTGAAAAGAAGTGCTAGTATTGCTTCAGGACGTCTGACTTTTTAATTGGGGATCTTGGGTCCTCATAAATCAAGGTCAGAGCAGTGCAAGCTGTGGGATACCTGTTCCCAGATCAGGCAATCTGGAAACAAAGACAAAACTGACAAGTTCCCCAGACTGGGGGCTATGGGGGCTGTCTGGAGGAAGCAGTTATGGCCAGTGCTGTAGGCTGCCCTGCTGAGTCTTTCCATTATTTAGGCAGAAGAAAGAAACATCCCCTTTTCCCCTCACTTTCACTAAAACCAATCCTTTGTCAGTCAGGGAAGTGGCCTGTATTTTTAATGCCTTTTTTGCACTTTGTTACTGAGGGCCTTGAGCAAGCTATGTCAGTGCTGATGACATAAGGAATGGATGTAGTTGCAGGGCAGTATAAGCTATTTAGCACATGGGCATGTGTGCTTGGTTTGAGGCAGGGATTTTTGTTTTAATTAAAAAAAAAGAAAATTGCCTTGCTTCTAATGGAATAAGCACCAAGACAACTTTATCTGGCCCACAGATTGCCCCTGCTACCGCTGTTTGCAGAAAGAAAAGCAGATGGGATGAGTGGGCAGAATCCAGTTCCTATGTGAAGATTGTATTGTATAAGGACTGTATTGTAGGACCTGCCCTAGAGCTGTAATGCAACCAGACACTGAAATCCAGCCAATTTTTTGTTGTTTCTGCAGTGCTGTCCAAATGCGCTATTGCTATTTTGGCTTAATCTATTTCCCCTTTTCTAGCCTAATTGCTATGGCTTCTTGACTTCTGGTTAATAGAAAGGGTTAAATTGTTTATTATATTGGAACTTGATTTGCAGAAAAAAGCTTGGACTTTTTGTGTTGCATGTGATTGTCAAAGCAGTTGCGATTTCTGCTGCTGTGGTTAATGTTTGGAAATAATCTTCAACTGTTTATGCAAAGGGAGTTTGCCCTGTCCTTTCCTGTGAATTACTGAGGCCTGTGGAACCTAATGCTAATGACTAGTCTGTGACTTGTCACCTGCATCTTGAGCTTTTTGACCTGTTTTTATGATGGGGTGGTGCAAATTTATGTACTGGGTGAGGTTGGAGGTAAAGCATAAGAAATTTTGTGCTGCTGGTATGACATTATTTCTCATTGCTTAGTCTGTGGGGACTTGCAGATGTTCTCAGAAATGAGGGAGGAGCAGTATTAACTCATGAACACAGGAATGACATTCCTGTTCCCATCCTTAGGCTTAAACATTCCTTGTAGAATAGATGGTAATGAAGCCTTTGAAGCAGTTCGTGGTTAGCTCTGGCTGTTGCTTTGAAATCTGATGATGTGGTAGAGAAAATCAGAAATCAGTGGTCAGGTTGGTGTGGAGGCTGATTGCAGCTCTGCTCAGGAAAGAGCAGGGCTAGAAAAGGCACCTTTTCCATAGCTGAGCATAAAGACATCACACTATTGCAAAAGCTCATTTATGTCCTGCCTCTTTCTCAATGGCCACTGCTCAGTGGCTTGAAAAGAGTGTTAGGACAAAGCAAAAGTGGTCAGACAGCACCTTCCCAGCTGCTAGTAATCTGTGGCATTTGATTTTAATTGTACCCAGTGGGTGTTTTTTCAAGGGTTCTGAAGCTTTATGAATTCCTTTGTTTCTGGTATCCATATCATCTTCTGACAATTGTGGACAATTTGTTTACAGGACATTAATGCACATGAATAGAGATGTAGGCCAATTATGTTTTGGTAACACTGAGAAAGCTCTTGCAAATACCTTTCCACCTTAACAGGACAGCACACATCAAATGGTATCTGGCTGGACTCCAAAACAAATAACTAATGCTGATGTTCAGAAAGGAAACGCTGTTGTCCTTAAATAGTCAAGCATTGTTCTCAGATTTCCTGTAATAATCTCTGCCTTTTTACCCAAAAAGATTCCTAACTATGTGGGTCCTGAGACTTCTCTCATGTCTGTGCAGTGAATGTTTGTTGTGATTTTTAGCCTTTTTCCTTTGAACAATCCTGTGCCTAATACACAGCATGTAGCATTTGGTGGTGTTGGAGGGTATGAAGTGGATCTTCTGTGTAACCTCATAGATAAAATATACATAATGTGGTATCTGTCTATAAAGTTTGTGATCACCAATCTAGTTACACACATGGAGTGATGGCCAGTGTGTCTGGGCACGGAGACTTTGGCTGACAGTGATCTGAAACAGCTGCTCCAAAGCTTCAGAGGGATATAAAATAGGGAACATCATGCTGGAGGAGGGGGCTGGCAGCTCTTTTACCTGATGGAAAGCTACTGCCAGCACAGAGAGGCTGATCTGTGGCAGGAGACATCATCATGGGAGATGAAGATCTGGGACCCAGCCAGAAAGAGCATCCAACAACACCACAGTGGCTGTGTGCCAAAAGTGTCAGTTGTTCTCTAGAGCTGAATGTGAGAGGCAAAAACCTTTAACCCACAGGGCATGAGTCCTCATGGGAGTGGGGCAGTTTGTCTATTTATTACTCCAAGGTCTGATCGCAAACATAGTTTGGGAGCTTGCATGCATAAAGTAAAAACAAGGGGGAATCCTGCATTCCACCCTGTCATCTATGTTTTTCTACTGAGACTTGTGGGTTTTTTCCACCTCTAATTATCATCTTCCCATTTAGCTCTTACTCTTCTGGAAATTAGTGACTAGCATAAAAAGGGGATGTGGAGACACACCCCAATCAACACTTGCTGGTAATTCAACTTTAGAAGTCTCCTATGCATGTTAACAGAGCTGTGAAGAGACATAGGCATGGAGATCTCCCCAGTGCCTGGCCAGCTCAGGTGTTAATCCTGCATGGTGTAGGTTCTAGGAGTAGTCTAGAGCCATATATTTTTGTGGGACCTGACACCTAAATGAAGAGGGGTTGATCCTGCATTTAATTTTTGCTGAGAACTGTCCCAGGCCAGCTGTGCTGTGAGATGTCAGCAGCTTCACCTGACTCTCCTCCCGGTCTTTGAAGAACATACTGGAACACCCTCATCTGGGGTTCAGTGGCATGGTCCTGTGCGTCTGCAGTGGTGGGTGATGGTGGTTGTGTGTCACTAACAAATTGAAGCATGGGCCACCAAAACATATCACGGGATTTGGAGGCTAAGTTGACATCTTTGCTGAAGGGTTGTCCAATGCACGTATCTTACGTAAGTTATGCTTATAAATATGCCATGACCTATGAATACTTCAGCAATGGGTTTGAGCCAGGAATGAGTTGTGCTGAACTAATTATTTATTCACTTAATAGGGACTGATGGTTTTGCTCAGCTGGAAGCTGTGCATAATTAAAACCATGGTCCCTGTCCCGAGAGCTTTCCAGTCTGAAAGATGAAGCAAAGGCTGTGCCAGGAGAAGCTGTGGGAATCCCATGTGCCCCTATCAGATGTTCAGAAAATTACATTTCAAAAAGCCTGTGGGCACTCTGTATACAACAGGAGACATGGGCCATTTGGGGCTAGTGTGTATTTAACACAGGCTTTTGTTCATATGGCCACAATGCTAAGTGAGAGGTGGCTGCTGTAGGTCAAGAGGTCCTCCCAAAAGCTGTAAAATAAACTCAAACTTGCAAATAAAAATACACTTAACCCTGGGTGGTGTTCAGTGTAACCTGGGGATGCACATTACCCAAACCAGAGCTGTCCTCCTTAAACACAGCCCAGGCAAGGGAGCCAGTGCCTGTTCCTGTGCAGACGCCATGCCCCAGGCAGAGCAGCATTGATCAAAGAGACCAGGTCTTGAGCAACACCCAACTTTCATCTGTTTTGCAGCTGCCAGGAGCCATTGCCTCTCCCCAGACCTGAAGAAGGACTTGTGTGCCTCAAAGCTTGACTGTTTTTTTACTAATTATATAATTTGGCTTAATAAAAGCTATTAACTCCCTGTACAAATCTTGTGTCTCTTTGAATAGGCTGGCACGTTTCCTAATAGAACCAGAAACTGCTTCTTAAACAGAAGTTTGACCATTATTGTTATTAAAATAGGAAAGGAAATAGAGGCTTGTTCACAACAAAGCGATATTTATTGCTCAGTTTAATTGCTTAATGTAGAGTGCATGACTGAGCATTTGAAGGAGCTGATTTGCAGTTTGGTCACCCTTTGAAACAAAGCCACATCTTGTGAAATTGCATGTTGAAACTCAAAGACTGAAATGGCTTGAGCAGATGGGAGAGGAATAGAAGCTGTTAGCTGAGCCTGCACAATTCTGCTGGGAAAAATTCCTCCTGGAAACACACAGCATTGGGACCACTGCCTTGTCTGGACCTGCACCCTCGAGCAGGATGGGAGATGCTGATACCTGGAGGCTGGCTCAGACTTTTCCCACTCAGCCAAAATGTAGGTGAAGGATATGGCTGTGGAGGGGACTAGGCAGGTGATGGCAAGTTTTGCACAGGTGCAGGCAGGTACCCTCAAGGAAGCAGGGCAGGTAGGAAAGTTGAGCAGGCACATGTGAACTCAAGTGATGCCAGCCCCAAATGTCTGAGCTGTTCATAGGTGTGAGCAAGCACTAGGTGAAAATCTCTTAACTCCTCTTGCTACGAGAGCTGCAAGATCTTCCCCCAGTCCTGACCATGGCCATGCTCACCCACAGAGTCCCAACTAAACTGTGTTGCCAGTGCCTTTGTTTTAATGGGGAACGTGTATGCTGCAAGTTGTTGCATTCAAGTCAAAGAGCAAGTTTAAATCTCCTTTCTCCCCTAGCAAGACCCCGCAACTACCTCCTTGACTGGGTCTTGGCCACTTCACAGCTCAGGCTTTGGGGCACACATACAGGCTTTATGGCCTTAACGCAAATAGTGGATAGTTCAAATAAGAATTATCTGTCTGCCCCTCCCCAGTGAGTGCTGAACCCAATATTTCTCATGAGTGACTCAGCAGCGGCAGGGGGTGCAGGAGCTGCCTTGCTCCGAGCTCTGTCATCATGCCAAAAATCCAGCATGATGGCAATGAAATAATTTCTTTTTGCATGCCTGGAAAGCCACTTTTGTCAGTAGCGGTACTGACGGCATGACTTCAGGGGGTGGGGAGGTTTGACTCGTGGGTGCAGCAGCTCCTGGCCCTGCAGAGGGGGAATTTGCCTTCATCCACCCCAGGAGCCAGTGGTGCATGCCATGTCCATGTTGATGACCAGCAAAGACCCACCCAAAAAACCTGAACCGCATCCTTTAAACAAAGAACAGTCCAAAATCCTTTTCTTAAGGATAAGCGTTTTTCTTAAAATCACCTGAGTATTGCCCGTCCTGCTGTGCCGAGGGCTCCCTGCACAGCTCCTCTGCAGCCAGGCAGACAGGACCCAAGGACTTTCCAACAGTGTGTGTTCTGCCTAAAGCGGCATCTTTGGGTTTTTCATAACGTAACTGTGAGGCTCTGAGCTATTCCCATAGCACTTTTAGTAATCAGCCCTGGTATGTTGAAAGACCCATTTGTCATGTCTCAGCTGGTCTCTTGGAGAAACAATTACAGGTCAGGTTAGTTACCTGATTTATATGTCAGGGCTGCAGGAAAGAATCAACAGCATTTTTTGTATTTTTCCAGAGTAGGTTGATATTCCCGGCATGTTGAACCCTAGGAGTTCCCTTGCTTTTATGATCACTTGCAATCCCTCCTTATTTGGCTGATGTTACAGCAATTCGAGCAGAAAAATGTACTACCAGCACAGAGAGCCAATGTCTCCCTTAGTTATCTCCCTTCAAAACAATTTGCTTGCCTGCTGGTGTGAGAATATCCATGCACACCTTGTGTGAGGTAGCTTCTCCATCAGCAAGTCCTAGGCACCAGTTTGGGCAATCATTCCAAAAGCCAGGCAGCAGCATCATGTCTCCATGCAGAAAGAGATGCGATGGCTGGCAGGTTCCTCTCTGTAACACCAGTTACAGAGTGGGCATTGTTGCAGAGCCAACAGCAGTGGTGTGTGACTGTATGAGCACAGACTGCTGTTGCACACACAAATACGCATGCAAACTATGGTGTGGTTTGTGTTCGTGCAAAAGGTGAGGAAATTTTACTGATGGAAAACATAAGTTGCAGACCTGAACCACCCTGACCATCCTGTTAGAGCTCCCAGGGGATGGCCAAAATGTAAGCGGAGAGCTGGGGCTGTGCCACCTCCAGTGCCAGCCATCCCCAGCGCCAGGGTAAGAGGCACTGACCACAACTGCCACATGGATATTCCCACTGGGACCGAACATGATCCCATCTGAGAGGTTTCAGGCAGATCTTCTCCAGCATGTGAGTGTGCTTGGGAAGGCTGATAGGAAACTATTCCTGATGGAAGCAATATCTGAAAGCAGGAGGCTGTACAACTTCCTAAACTCTGCAGGGTGTGTTTGTAACCACCACAATGCTGGGTGAAGAAGGTGCAGGACGAGGCCTCACCCTCACTGCAGCACGCACAGCAGAGAGCAAAGGCCTTTATGCTGTTGATGCTTAAGAAAGGCTTGCCCAGGGTCAGGGCTGTGGGAGCGATTGAAGGTTATCTCACATCTCTGCAAGGGTGTCTCTGTGCTCAGGGTAGTGCACAGGGAGGGCTTAACCATGAGTGCGAGGAGGGGAGCAGGGCAGGCCTGCGGCTGCCTCTGAGCACAAACTGCTGTGACCCTCCAACAGGAAACAAAGCAGAAGCAAAGCGGAAGATGTTTTACGAAGTGCCCATTTACTCCATGCTAGCAGGGAATAAAACATGCGTCAAGGAGCGGGCTGTGTTCCCATGGGCCGTGGGAAACATGGTCAGGTGGGGAGGAAAGAAATAACTCCTAAGGCGTGCAGCTTGCCATCACAGGGAAATGCAGAGGAGCAAATTATTAGCTTGTGCTTTTTGCAAGATGAAAGATGGGCCATTAGCTGCCTATGGAAAATACCTTCCAAAACCTTTGGTGCAGCAGTTTCTCTGTAGAAGGGCTCTCCCAGCACCCCAGGCATCCCGGGCTGTGATGGCAAGAAAAAGCCCCACGGCCGGGGCTGGAGAGGTTTGAACTTGAACTCGTTTATTTAGCTTTGACTTTTCCCTTGCTGGAGCCCCTGGACATAGGCCAAACCTCAAAAGCGAGTTATAGCCAAATATTTTTGAGGTTGGTAATGAGATACCAAAGCCTTACTTAAAAAAAAACCCTGTCCCACATTTCTTTGCAGCATGCAGGGCCGATGCTCCATGCCTTCAGCAGAGCTGGGTTCAGGGGTCATAGTGCTGCCAGCCAGCTCATGCTCAGCATCCTCCTCCTGTATCTCATGAGCACGGCTGGGTATAAGCAGGCACCCCCAGGTGATCCAAATGCTTGCTGTTTTCACTGCAAAACAAACTTTGGAACACTTCCGTCATCGTACACACATTGCTCAGGGTTAACTGTGACAGATCGCGTCTCTCCCTGCTGTGAACTCCTGCTTGGCTGCGGGGGTCTCCCACCTTGCAACAGCTTAAAACTATGGTGTGACCTGCAAAGCCTCCTCCAGGCTGCAGCAGTACACAAACCTGCTCGGGTGCTTGCTTGTGGGCTGCACACAGGAGCACTGACAACACCACTGGCAGGACCAAGTGAACCCTGCTCAGGCAGAGAAACCTAACCTAACCCACAAAATCTGCTTTGCTCTGTGATCAGGATCTGGCCCTACACTGCTTTCTCTGCATATTGATGCTGGTTTTGTGCTAGGCTTCCTTGGTGGCATATTTTTTGCACTGTATTTGAATAAAACAGAGCAAGCCTGTGAAAGTCAAGATAAATGTGTTTCAAGATCTTTAGGCTCTGGTGCAAAGCAGCGTTACAGCAATCCGCAGCCTCCCTCAGCAATGGAAAGGGTTAACTGCTTCAGTTTCCCCCTGATACTTGTGGCTAATGCCAATCAGATCTGGAATGATACAAGTAAAATGATTGAAACCTCTGGCTGTTCAAAAAAGCCTATGTTTTAATTAAATTGAGAACTAGCTGGTTAATCAGCGCAAGGACTAATGGTCTGATTAGCAGGAAATGCCTGGTGAAAAATAGACTCACCAGCTGGGCTGGAGGGAGGGCTGAGCCGTGGACTGGGGACACAGCCCAGGGCTGGGGGAGCTGCGGGTGCTTTGCAAAAGGCATTCAGACTCCATCTGAGGAACCCCCAGGAAGGAAATGAATTCTTGATCCCACCAGGGGTCCTTGGATAGAGCTGCCCCCAAGTCTGTTGCTGCCCAGGGCCCAGCTGTGGAAACTCTCTTCAGAGAGCATGACAGGGGACCAGGGGATGCCAGGAGGACAAATGAAACCTCTCATCTCAATTACATTTGAGAGGGAGAGTACAAGGATGGGGGAGGCAGGATTGCAAAATCAATTTGAAATTTATTGTGTGAAGGGAAAAAAAACCAACCCCAAACCGCACCACCCAAGAAATAAACTTTTAAAATTAAAAAATCAATGGAGAAATGTCCTTCTGGCTACCCCTTCCCCCACTGTGTGCAAAGCACAAGCTTCCTTCTGATTAAAGCTCAGCCTGGAGCAGTTTCGGTGGCAGGAGGCCAGGAGGAAGCTTAAGGTGCTCTCTGCAGTTTAAGGTGGAGCTGTTTACATCGCCTTCCCCAGCAGTGCCAGTTTTGGCCATGCAGCAGTATCCTCTTGGTTACACCAGTTACACTCTGGCTGTGCCACTGTTCCAGTTTATGTGTCCGATAGCAAAGACAAGCTCTCTGTTCACAGATGCTTGGTGGTAGATGAGCCTTGGTGGGGTTTTGTTTTGCTTGCAGCTGCCTACAGCAGGTTTTCACTAAAGTGAAATAACGTGAGGTGAGAGGGAAGGGGAGTGGGAATAACTCTTGCCCCATTGCTGGGGAGATGCGGATGGGATGCTCCTTCTGAACAATGCCCACACATTGG